AAAAAAAAAAAAAAGAAAGTAGTTGCCGGATCACCAACAGCAAATATTTTTATAAAGATACCCTTACTTTCTGAACAACACAAGTAATATCATTTCAAAATATAAAACAATATATCTATATCTTATAGAATGGAATACTAACCAACAGTAACAACTCCAGCAGAATGTCGGGGTACTTGTAGGTCAGCTTTTTTTTGCCACTCATTAAGGTGAATATTATATACGTCCACAAATCCTGTGCTTACTAACTGGTTCTTGTTAAATCGTGAACCCCAACATCCACCGACAACCCACAAGCACTTCTGAGCTACCACAGCCGAGCAATAAGCTCTAGCTATTCGGAGAGGCGGACGAGCTATCCAACTGAGAACAAAAATTATTAGTCAGAAATGAAATGAAATATTGAAACCGAGTGAGCAGAGAATCAAACTTTTTAATGTTAATGGCTCTTTTTATATGATTAAAATCTTATAACGTGATATCGCTGGAGAATCAGATAATATGTACAAGTAAGACAGAAACTCGATATATGTCTTTAAACCAATGTGATATCTAGATAAATGTAAATACAAATGAACCACGATATGTTAAATTACATGTGATGCCTGGGAATAGTTAAATATACATGAAACATTATTTTATACAATATTTTAACTTATCTTGAAAACAGTGAACATATGTATGGCATAACCCATAAATGTTTTCTTAGTCTGAGACTTACTATTTTCAAAGCATACAGAAATATTTTCCCTGTGCTAAGTACTTTTAAATTATTTTAAAAAACAAAAATAATATTCTGTAGAAAAACCATTGTTAATATTTGATATGTTTTTAAGCAACATTAACTAAAGCTAATTAACATTCAGATTATTTTGCAAATTTCTAGTTACAGAAAGGATAGAAAGAAAAGAGAAAGAAGTGTTTAATGTTAACTTTTATTGTCCGATGTCACATGAATATTTTTACTTGAGTGTTTTATCAACGGAGTAAACTTTCTTTGCTACGACTTGTTTCAAAATAACATACATTTTAGTGATTGGATCAAAGGACAAGACACTATCCAGAACTGGAGGCTCATCATCGAGATCAGCAGTTTCTGGTAAAGAAGTCAACCCACCGATCACCCAGATAAATCCTTCATAACACACCGCAGACAGGCCCATGCGTGGTCGACACATTGGTCTCTCCATTTCCCAGTAATCTGATTCTGGTATGTAGACTTCCACAGAAGCTACCACTCTATTATATGAAAATATCATTCACGTCTATATTTATGATTGAATAAAATGAAATACCTTTTTTAAAATATTAATATCTGACTACCATAACTAGAGATGCATTGACAATTTTGCCATTATGTGGTACTGTCAGAACTAAAATAACCCTAGAATTCTTAAACACATTTCTCTAAAGTATTTATGCAGCAAATTATGTACGGATTCACAACTTTGTTAGTTACAGAGTCTCTAATAACGTAAAAATCACACAAGAAATATAAATAAAGTTATAGTCAATTACTGCATTTAATTCTATTAATTATTCTTGGGGGTTTAATATATATTTCAAGTAGAAAATAAATGATTTCATCTAATATTTGGTCAACACTTTACAATAAATGTTGTAACAGGCACAAACTTTCATCAGATGGATACCCTTGCTGGTAATAACATGTTTTCATAAATGTTTTATTTTGATGGTGGAGGTGGGTGGGTGGGGAGTAACGTGACTATAAATCGGATTATTTGAAATCTTCGCGTGGTGATGCTTACCAAAATTATGACATTTCTACTAATTAAAACAACAACAGCAACTGGTTAAAAATGTTTGTACTTTTAAACAAAAACACAAGACGAGTAAAATATACTTTCAGACATGATGCGTACCTTCCCTTGTTATCACGTCCGCCAATTGCATAAACACGTCCATGAATTGTTACAAGAGCATGATGAGCTCGGGCACAGATCATGTCCCGCCTCTGTTCCCAGTTTTTCGTAGTAAGGTCAAGAACAAAGGTTCTTCCAGTTGGTACCATCTCTCCACAATTTCTTGTATGTGGATCGTAACCCCCTAGAGTGCATATGATAAACAAATTAATATTCATTGTACCTATCCACTTACGTAAGTGCTAATAACAAAAATTATCTGAAACAACTTAGGGTTAATTAAGAGTTAGTAGATGGCTTAAATGGGTAATGAAGAAAACTTTATTATAAATGTATTAGGTTTCGTTTCGACAAGATTATGTCATCATCAGTTACATTTAATGTTTAAATTCACCACTGAATACGAAAAGCAGTTATCTTTCCTTAATCTTGACGTTATTAGATCCGATACATAGTTCAAAACCAAAATTCCCCGAAAAAAAATCACTCACACAGACCTTTACATACCCTGTAATTCCGCTCATGAATCCAAACAAAAAAATCATTATACTAAAACACCTTATAAACATAGCTTCAAGACTTTGCTTAACTGACTACAAAGATGAAGAAATCAACTTTATAAAGTATTCCTTCATTCATACCAACATATTTCTACAAACCACTAGAACAACAACCTCAAATCTCAACTCAAAAACAAAATTGACACTAATACACCAAACAACAACAACAACAACAACACAACATTACACTGGAGTTTACCATTTATCCCTGAAATCATGGATTTAAGATACTAACAACTCTTGGATTTCAAATTCACTCAAAACCTCAGCCCGAAACTAAAATAATTACTAAATACAAATTATATAGAAGCACACAATGCCAACGTCATTTATAAAATAACGTACAATAACTGCCCAAACTTCTAGATCGAAGAAACCGGAAGAAAACTGGGAACCAGATTTACCGAACATAATCAAAAACCCTCCCATGTTTACCACCATTCCAACTAAAAAAAAACTACAGTATATTTATACAAAACACTGTTATTTTAAGCAAAGAACCAAACGTCAACAAACGCAAATTAAAGGAAGCTATCTTAATAGAACAAAACAGCCCTACTCTAAACCAACACCCCGATGTACCAGGATACCTTTACTACTCTGTTAAGCAATATCTGATCATATAATCGTTTTGTTACATACTCTATAGATATTCCCGCGTCTATGTAAGCTAGTTGTTTCTGATGATGGCATAATCTTGTCGAAACGTTGTACATTTATATTAAAGTTTTCTTCATTACACATTCAACCCGTCTTCAAATGTTTATTTCCTAAAAAGTGGGTTCCTCGTCATCAAATTTAGGGTTAATTAGATATCATCCCAAACAGCTATACGATGAACAAACTTGTATACTTTTTTTGCAATTGCTTTGATATTGTCTGTCATGTAGCAATTCAAGCCATACTTGGTTTGAAGAAAGTTCGTATGAATGAACATAAAATAGCAGTAAAAAATACAGTCTTCTATTGCTGAACACGATTCTCCTAGAGGTCCTCAGTATCAAGTGGATTCAAGGTAAAACTTTTGACATTCGTGCAATGTTAAATATATGACTTGGTTTTATGAAGATTGGATCGTTGCTCTTTTAATCATGATATAAAGACTGACATCCTTTACTTCACCCATTTAAGTTCTTGCTGGTGTAGATTTTATACGCCATTTTGTGGTTAAATGTTATCCAGCTCTTTGTATATCCAGATTATATCACACGGTAGGTGTAATTGTTAGCTATTCGTGTTGCAGGGTTCATATGCGAATTGAATTTCCTCTGAGCATCTTAATAATATTGTTTTGTCACCAGTTCCTTGAATGTAAGGGACTGACCGTCACATTATAACACCCCCACGGCTGAAAGGGCGAACATGGTGGGACGGGGATTCGAACACGCGATCCTCAGATTGCGAAACGAGCGCCTTAACCACTTGGCCATGCCGGGCCATTTATAGAAAACCAGATATACACGGTAAATTTAGCAGTCAATTATTAAACCGTACCTGTAATGTAGATAACGTTGTTCAATAATACAGATGCATGATGATTTCGGGGTTCCGGCAATTGACCAAAATACTCCCATCGATCTCTCAGAACGTGATACCTTATCACTGACATACCTGCAGATAGAATGCGTTTAAGTAAGACTTAAAGGTACCAAACACTATTGATTTTATAGGTCTTAAGACTCCGAATTTTAAGTTTTTGGTAAAGTCACAGTTTTGCAGACATATCACTTCTCTAATACCGAAGTTTTTGTGAGTCATTTTGTTACTCAATCTTATCCAATATATTTTTCAATCATGACACCTATGCATGTATGTTTGCGCTAATTTTAAATTAAGAATATCATGTCTCTGTAAGATAAATATTAATTATCAACATAGTAACTTATGTTGACAAATACATTTAGATTTTGAAGCATGTATTACTGTCATCGTGTTTTGAACTTGTTCCCTACAAAACCTGATGCTAAGTTTAGATTATTGTAGTTATTTTGTACATTTTATCTCTTGCTTCTTGCTTTTAACATTTCTATTTGATAACTAGGTAACACCTATTGTCACGTTATGTCCTGTAAAGTAACCAAAATAACGCTAAAACGCGATGTCATCATAAACGGCTTAACTTTACTACTGGTTCTATTCTACATAAAACAGCTAAGGTGCACTATGGTGTACCACTTAGCCAGCCACGTACGTTTATAAAAACAGTTCTTTCCCTAAAAATTCTATAAATTTGTTATCAAAGTAATCGTGAAATAATTGGTCAATCAGATGTTATTTTTTATGACAAGGATTATTCTCTAATGTGAAATTGATGGAAAATAATCTGGAACCTAATATTACTAATTATTGCAGCTCACTCACTAATTACGTTGTTAAAGTAATAATTTTATAATGGTATACAACAAAACTTTACGTGAATTAAAAGTATGTATGCTAATTTCGCTTCCTCAAGGACTCTCAGTCTCAAAGTTTAAAGTAGTACCAATACATCATTGTATCTTAAGCTATAGTGTTACAGTGCCTATGATATGTATTACAATGAAATTTATAAGGTAAAAAAATTATGTAATGAAACCATGAATTCTACGGCAAATACTACCAGAAGCTCAAACACACTTTCTTATAACTCATACAAACCATTCAAAAATCGTTAAATTTCTAAAGTTTTGGTTTGTTTCGAATTTCACGAAAAGACACGCGAAGGCTATCTGCGCTAGCCATCCCTAATTTAGCAGTGAGAGATTAGAGAGAAGGCAGCTAGTCATCACCACCCATCGCCAACTCTTGGGTTACTCTTTTACAAACGAATAGTGGGATTGACTGTTACATTATAACGCCCCCACGGCTGAAAGGGCGAGCATGTTTAGTGGGACGGGGATTTGAACCCTAACCTCTTTGAAGATTGTTGGGTGTTAAACAAACAAATTTTGAACATTTCGAAAAAAACATAGTGCTCAAATTTGTATATTGGTTAAAAATACTCAATACTGAATCTTTGCTTTCTAGACCAGTGAGAAGAATGGGACATTTCAAGCAACAAGAAAGTAGTTTTCACTTCTAGCCTTGTTAGTTTTGTAAAGTTATATCAGAATATAAATAAAGAAAAAATCTCACCAATTTGGGAATCCAGGGGATCACGTGGGTCTAACCCTCCAGTTACGACTATAGTAGGTGACGTATTGTCAATAACTTCAAAGCATGGTCTCATCTTCTCGGCAAAGGCTGGTAAATTATACACGGATCTCAAACCGCATGCCCTCCTATAATTGACATATATATATATATTATAGTCTGTAAAATAATTTATTATGCAAAAATGCAAGCAAATGATGGTTATATCTTACATGATTAAAAAAAAAATGAAACATTTGTAAGTTCAAAATGATTCCAATTCTCACAACAGAAACTAGATAAAAATTTCTCTTAGAAGACAGAACAAGAGGTTAAACTAAAAGTAAGCGCAATTTATAATTTTTAGTACTGCTATTTGTTATACTAAATAAATACGTGGGTCTTTTTAATATTTAAATTTTCTCTAGATCGTTATGTAATGATAAGGTTTTGAGTAAAACTTCTTGTTTTCAAAAACGAATGGATCCCTTTTCAACAACACACACACTTATATATATATATATATTCTCACACTTCTTAATATTTCAAAAATATTCTTCCCTAACACTAAGAAGCTTTTATAGCGTCTTAACAAAAGTTACATTGATGACTTTTCGTTTTAAAGCATTCAATGTTCCGTGGGCGTGTTGAAAAGTCTTTTTCTTTTACATATCCCATTTCATCGCAGCATTTCCAATCATCAAGCCACAATCTTGCAAAAACCTGGGACGTAGAGTTGGTTCGTTCTGAATTCTGTCGTGTAAGTTGTAGTAGACATGTTGAGGTGTAACTTTTTGGGAAGAAAATCTCGCATGTACTGGTGAGTAGTGTGAAAGGTATGAGCGCAGTATTTCAAATACTTTCTTTTCTGTTGAATATTCGTTTTATAGAAATAATATATGGATACCCTATGTATGGGTTAGTTCTAGTAACAATGTCAAAAAACTTAAAGTTCAAGAAATATACCAGGTTAAACACTATTCACTTACTTCGTTTTCAGACAGCGTTCTTCCAGTGGTAACAACAATCCTAAGTTGGAGTCTACCTGAGGTGAAAGGGTTACAAAATGAGGATTTCGATTCTTTCGTAAAAATATTGATGGATATGAGTCAGTACAAAGGTCGACATCTGGACCAGCTTTTTCAGGATGAGGAGGCCATTGCTATAAAGACCAGTATTATTTTAAGTCTTATTAACGGGACACCGATTTAAAATAGTGATTATTCGTTACAAAGTCCAGGTGAAAGTATCCCTATACGAAGAACATTAGTTAAAAACTGATTGAAGAAGTTGTTTTTATTCCAATTAAAATGTTCTAGTAAATCAAATTACACAGGCAATTTCACAATTCAGTAAGTAATATACAAGTTAAATTCGTATTATTAGATTATTGGTTACACCATTTAATTTATATACTCTAGTGCACGTGGAATCTATGTCTATCTAACTGTGTGCTTTTATGTGTGTTACACACACACACACACACATATATATATATATATATATAACATACTTTGGACCTCTACCAACTGAGCCATAGGGTTAACTTTTTAGAATTACTTCTAAACACTTTTTAACAGTTCAAACTATCTGACTACTACATTCTTCCCATTTTCAAACAAGGCTAGTCTTTGAGATGGCAACAAGCTGGGCACCTGTTTTCTTGCGATATCTAAATTTTGTATATTTCTGGATTGATCCTGTTTTACTTTTGCACGTCAAAAGAGTGCTCTATAAACTGTGTAGATGGTTAATCTTGTAGTTACCGCTAGTAAGACATTTGTAACAGTGCCGATTGGGCAAATCTCAAACAAAATTTGTATGTAAACACAATTGTGATAAGTTTTTAATTCGTTACTTATTCTTACTAGTTTTAATATTTACTTACAGGTATGTGTAACCGTGCTAGTCTTTTACACTGATCATCTCTTGATCCACCTACGTAGCTTTGTGTACAGTATCCAAAAGCAGACGAACATTTAGAAGTCAATTCTGTTTCCGATTCACAAGTTGTTTGTCTTTTACAGAAATCCTGGATAATAAACACGTAATTAACAGTTTTAATTCTTTATGAGATTTGAGATAGATGGTAAATATTTTGGTAAGAAAGACAAGAGCGCTTTCACTATAATTTTACGAAGTGAAATCTCGAACATGTGGTATTCAAATCTATTTCTTTGCTAGGCATATGATCTAACTAATTAAACTAACAGGTCTCCAAGTCACCATGTTCAGTATTCTCGTCGTTAATTTCGAGATGAATAGAATTGAGACAATTAAGTTATGGTCGTTTAAGTCAATAACCATTGAATGCTATTTTCTGGGGCATACCTGTTTTAAATTTTCGTCTTTCTTAATGTGTTATAAATGTTGTGAAAAAGCAAAAATGTTCTTTGTAATATTATACATTTTCAAATGAAGTGATAAATATATCTGGAAGTTCTGGTAAAATCCAATGAAAACCAAGACGTATGGCAAAAGAGGTCAAATAATGGTTTAAAATGAAACCAGTTGCATATATTTTGTTTATTTACTATATAAAGACGAAAAGCTATACCTCTATTCGTCTGTCACGTTGATATGTCGGCCGTTGCGGTATTGATCGACACGCAATTTGCACGAAACGAAAGTTATTTCAGCCGCGACAAGCAAGTTCGTCTTTTTAAAATTCTTTCAGCCATATATTTATATGAAACGGACGATGCGCTACTTTGGGCATATACTTAGATTTAAAGGTAGGTTGCTAGAAATAACGATGAGTAATAAAATCGAATCGGGTATAGGCGCACAAAAATCATAATCATTGGCTGAAATTCCCCATTACGTTTGCTTGGTTGTCAAGGAGACATATTGACGCAATATCACCAAATTTTGTCCAATCGGAACCCTCGGCTGCAACTCTATAATAACCCGCATGTTTTACACACAACACATTTCAATTTTAAAAATGCCTAAATAAAAACGCACTTTTTCAGCTCAGTAGGCTAACAAAGCCAAAACCAGTAAGACAGTCCAAAGAGAAGACCCCGAAATTCGTAATAAAAATTACTGCCTTTACCATCACAATAAATAATTTGCAGGGTCATACAGTTGACCAAGTAGGAATATGTCTTTGAGAATCAGTTTTTTCGCATGTTTCAATCTATAAGGATGTATCAAGAAGAACATTTGAACATAACTTAAAACTATACAGAAGTCAAAATGCTAATCAGGAAATGCTTAAACGCTTAAAAATGCTTAAAGGAGATGACCAAATATATATAAAAAAATGCTGTTTTCGTGAAATACTAGAAATAGGATAGCCATTCTCCATATTGTTGCTAGATTATAATTAATATTTAGAAAACATGTTCATAAAACATTTATTTATGTATAATTTTGAGAAGAAACATTAACCATTATTTCCAGTCAATATGACGGGCATTCAGCTTGTAATTAAATAAAAATTACTTGTTCGATTTAAGACATTCTCACAGCTTTAGTCAATTAACGCATTTTCAAATATAATTATTACAGTCTTGATAAAAAAAAATGATAAAAACTGGCCTTAAGTAATTTCTTCAAACTTTTTATTTTATGAGAAAACAATGCAATACAAATAGTTATCGGAATATCGAGTCTCTAGGTTCGGGGAGGTTCGGTATTTCATAAGTTGACCTAAATCGACGTATTATATATGGCGAATCTTTGCAAGTATAAGGTAAACTTGTTGTATGCTATCGATATTTTCATTATTATTTAAAATACAATTTAACTAAAATACAAATAGTTAAAATGTAATTCCTAAATAAAAAATATAACCAATAAACATATTTTACTAACGATGGCACTGCTATATCAAACATTTCGTATCTAACGTATAAATAATAATAATAACATATCTAATATTCTTTATTTTACCCACCGCGTATTTTCTTGTATTTAGTTGTCTTCTAGAACGGTGCCTTCGAAACATTCCTTGTATCATTGAGGCTGCACGGTTCAAGATTATTTCATTTGGTTCTTGAGTTATCTAAGAGATAAACTTTATATCATAAAATCTGGACAGGAACATAAAAAAACAATTCATGACTTACATTGTCTTGAGAGTCATCTGTAAACAAAATCAGGAGATATGCTGTAAGGAAATACGATTTAATAATGACAGTTATCAATACATTGTTAATCATAAGACTATTGATTTCCTAAATACAATACAAAACTTATATCTTGGATGATTCAAGATTATGCCAACATAGCAGAAATCAAAAGAGCATAACTAACGTGACTGTTTTGAAACAAATATTGAAAAAGTGAATTTTCAAACATATATAGTTTCAATGTTATTTTTAATCAGACACTAAAACTTTCTGACAAATGTCTGCAATATTTCAGTTGGAAGCTACCCACATCTAACAACATAAAGTATGTTCTTACCCATTTACTTCCATCCTTAATAAACTTCTCTGATAGCACACCAACTGCAGAAGCCCCTGCTATTGGTAACGGTAGAGCACAGCCTTCTAATAAAGTATTTTTATCCAAATCAAAAATATCGTTTTCTGATAGAGGTTCTTGTTCAGCACAGTTCATACCTCCAAGAATATAAATACGTGACCCTGAAATAAAACGAAATCAACCCATAATAATTGGTTTTAACTCATACTTAGTTAGAATATTTTAATGTATTTTTTAGCAATCAAATTGACATGGAATGAAGTATATTTGATATTTGTGACACACAGGGTATATTTGTGACACACAGGGTAAACGACCAAGTTAGAGACCACAAGGTTCAGGCATAGCTGTCCCTAATTTAGAACTGAGGGGACAAATAGTTTGGTATTGTCAGTAATTTTACTTTATATATTCTAAACACAGTTTCTTATTGTTAGTAATGTTACCTACTTTACATATTTAGAACACAGTTTGTTATTGTCAGTAATTTTACCTACGTTACATATTTACAACATAGTTTTTGTCTTTGTCAGTATTTAAAATATAATTCTTTCGCCAATTGTAAAAATATAAGGTTTTTACTTGTACTTCTTAATAGTATAAATGTATAGTGTGTTATTGTTGGGTTTAGGATTCTCCTACAGTAGGTGCCTGTGACTTAGCGATAAATTCAACGATAAATGAACAGCACGCACTTCACTTGTTTTCAAAATAATATATGAATTCGGAACAGGTTAAACGTATGTACAACAAATTCTTCACACTATAGAGATTATAGGCATATCATAGACACTATATACATAGTTCTCTTCTTTATGTCAAAAATACACTTAGGCCTATTCGAATACTTTAGAATTTCGGTTGACAAGCTGAACTATCTTCTGTGCGTGATTCACTTACAACTGTGGCGCAAGTTATCGTAATCGTTTGGTCTTATTTCTTCAAAATATCCTCTGTTCCTTTTATCAAAGTGCACTCAGTATGATTAAATTATTTTAGAACCACGCTTTGACAGAATAAATAATTCATCTTATCTCCTTTTCTACTGTTAGTCTTACTCTAACACACTAAACGTTCGGCCTATCACTTCTACGGTAATTAACTTCACGCCGAACTTTTCCTTGCCGTAACTTTACTCTCTTCTGCTATTGTGTCTGCTGTTTCGGCTTGTCTCACACTATATATATGTATATCCCTTAATCGTTTGCCCGCCTTCTAGAAATCTCTATTCTCGAGGTCAGTGTATTGCACGCGACTTTCGACAGTCTTTTAACTCTTTTTATAACAAAAACTAAACAATAATAAAATATTCACTCACCAAAATCAGTTAATCAATAATACCTAAACCAAACAGTCTTTTATATCACGACAGTCTTCAGTAATGTTACCTACTTTATATGTTCAGAACATAGTTTATTATTGTTCAGTAATGTTACCTACTTTATATATTCAGAACATAGTTTGTTATTGTCAGTGATGTTACTTACTTTACATATTGAAAGCATAGTTTGTTGTCTTTAGTAATGTTACCTACTCAGTATTTTCAAAACAGTTTGTTATTATTTTACACATGTGAAACAAGGTTTGTTCTTGTAAATAATGTTATTTACAGTAAATATAAACACCATTGTTTAGAATGAGGTATATGATACTTAGGTGCAGAACATTATTTTTGCAGTAATGCCTCATGCATTTGATTTTTATAATATTGTTTAGTGTTATCTATGATATTACGCCTATTTTAGAATAAAACTTTGTGTTGATATAGTTAATGTTATGTGCTTTGATATTTAGAACATCGATTTTTGTAGTCAGTAACATGATTTGCATTGCGGATTTTCATCATAGTTTGGCATTATCCAAGATATTAGTGGGGTTAGATGTTTATAACATCATTCATTGTTGTTAGTAACGTCAACTATATAAGGTTATTATAACATATGAACGTTATACAAGTCCCCAGTGGCTCAGCGGTAAGCCCACAGCTTATAACGCTAAAATTCAAGTTTCGATATCCGTAGTGAGAAGAGCAGTGCTTAATAACAAACAAATGAAAATATTATCTAAAATGTTATTTGCGTTACATGTCTAGAACATGTCATATGCATTAGGCTTTTATAACATAGGTTAGCATTACCCATGATGTTACCTGTTCTATATACTTAGAACCCTGGTATTGCTCGAATAGCCTCGTCGGAACTGGATATGGTCAGTACACCTAGGAGGGGAAAACAGTTGGGCAAATATCCCGAACACCTAAGGTTCACGGAATAAAGAGGTGAGAATTTGTGATTTCTGAACATTAAATTTTGGTAATAATTTATTTAAAATGTACATCATTAAAAATCGAGCTTGAAGAAAGTTTGAATCTTTTCTAACAGGTGGCAGCTCTATGATGGAGGAGATAATCGCTTGACTCTATACGTAGATGGAGTCGCTAGTTTCGTTTTTTTTAGTTCTCTACATTGCAAGTATTCCTTTCGTAATATGAATACTAAACTACTAAAAATACTATATTTAACAGTTAATCATTATTAAGAGGTCCTTAGGTACTGAAATAGTAGCATTGGTAAATGCGTGTGTTTATAAACCAATTAAACAGTATTTCAATCAAATTCACATAAAGTATATTTTTTAGGTGGGCCCATTAATATTTTTTTGTCCCAGACCCGAATATTTCTCTTGAGGGATCTCAGTGTGCAGCATATTATTCTTTTACTCATGAGTTGTTTGTTGTTATCAATAATTGTATCTTTTTTTTTCAGGTTTTTAGAACGTAGTTTATTTTCATTAATGCTACCTACTCTAGATACTGGTTGCTGTTCGTAACGGCACCCATATTCGACTTATATATCATAGTTTAGAATTAGTTAAGATGTTATCTGCGCTAGAGGTTCAGATGATTGTTTGTAGTTGTTGTTAACAATACCCCCTGTATTAGGTTTTCTTAACGTATAATATAGTATTATCTCAAAGATGCAACCTCAACAAGATAACTATAAAACATTGTTTGTCGTCGGTAGTGCCACCTACATTTGGCTTTTACAACATAGCTTAGCGCGCTACCTGTGATGCTACCTACTTTAAATATTTAGACATTTGTTTGTAGTTTATTTCGTCAGTAATGCAACCTGCTTTAGGTTTTAAGCACAAAGCTCGACGTTATCTATAATCTAACCTGCCTCATATTTTTAAAACACTGTTTATTATTTTCGGTAGCTACCTATTTTACCCATTTGTCGTTTCTGTGAGTAATTTTGACAACTGTAATGTTCAGAACATAGTTATATTTTTTTTTATTTTTCCGTAATGTTAACTGTATTAGGTTTTAAAATCATAGTTTGACGTTAACCCTAATCTTACATACTTTAGATTTTTGAAACATAGTGTCTTTTACAAATCTCTTGTTTTCACTAATATTATCTACTTTAGCTGTTCAGGATATATTTGCGTTGTTGTCAGTAATATTACTATGGAGAAGCCAAGCGTGACCTAGTGTGTTAACGTGTCGGGCTATGAATCTGCGGGTCCAGCGTTCGCGTTCCTGTACCGCAATATATATATATATATATATAGCTACGCACTTTGGGGCCGTGGGTGCGTTGTAAGAATGCTGATCGAATCTCATTATTCAGTCACAAGTCCAAACTGGCGGTTGGTGCTGTTGACTAAATGCCTTCTCTATAATCTATCACTTAAAAATTAGGGGCAGCTTGCGCAAATAGCCCCAGAGTAGCTTCGCACGAAGATCCGTAAAAACAACAACATTATTTTGACTTAGATTTTATAAATTAACTTAGAGCTACCTACGATTTTATGAGCGTTAAACTCCTAAAACACAGGTAGTTGTTGTTACCTGTAGTCAGTACTGTTACCTGCATTAGGCTTTTAGAATACAGTTTAAAACTAACTACGAAGTTGAGCAATACCTATGATATTACTTATTTTAAATATTTTTAGCATTTTATTGTTCCCAATCATTTCACCTGCTTTCCATATTTAATGCTCAATAATGCGTCCCTTTACCTTTCGTAATATAATTTATATTTCCAAAGACAAGAGAAACTGGAACATTTTTTTTTAATTATTCTGTGTTTCTGTCGATCAGAAATACATACAGGATGTGACATTAAAAGGTTTGGTGGCAAGTCTGCTGTAATTACATCATAGCTCAGAATAGGTAGCTATATACATATCGCAGTCATAATGTTCTAAATTTTTAAAGTAGGTAACTTCACAGATAACTCTAAATTATGTTCCAAATATTTAACGAAAATGACATCATTGATATTAAAGAAGAGTTAATAAGTACTTTCATCATGAATAACAAAAGATTACTCGTTGCCAGCAGGCATGCATCCATTTTTTTCTAAATCACTCATGTCAAAGACCAAAGAAACCAAATTAGTGTAAGGCACAGCTACTCAACTTTTTTTTTTTTAACACAGCCTACCGTAAACATTTTTTGGTACGTGATCCCCCCCCCCCCCCGCAAAGCAAACTTACTCCTGATTGATTCTTTACTTAAAAGTGTAGTTAAAAAATTTGATAATAATAACAATAATAGTGCTAATTTGTAATATATTATTTTTAACTTACTATTTTTACAATTCATTACAGCATCATTCAAACGTTCGCCCCCACACAAGGAGGGGGGGGCGCCTCACGAGTTCAGAATCGATGGCCTAAGGTATTTTCGTTAATCTTATTTACAATCTATAAAATGGATTAAAAATACGCATTCATTCCTGTTCTTAATTTTATCATAATTAAAGTTCACATACAGTTTTGGTTTTGGAACTTTATTTTTTGCTTGACCTATCTTTCTTGTTAAACAAGTCTTATTAAGATCGGTTTGGTTTTGAATTTCGCGCAAAGCTACACCAGGGCTATCTGTGCTAGCCGTCCCTAATTTAGCAATGTATGACTAGAGAGAAGGCAGTTAGTCATCACCACCCACCGCCAACTCTTAGGATACCCTTATCAACGAATAGTGGTATTGACCATAACATTATAACGCCCCCACGGCTGAAAGGGCGAGCATGTTTGGTGGGACGGGAATTCGAATCCGCGACCCTCAGATTGCGAGTCGAGCACAATAACCACCTGGTCATGCCGGGCCGTCTTATTAAGAACTGTACAAAAGCAAGATAACTCTATAGATCAAAATAATAATTTAATGGGGCCAATCCTGTATAACACAGTGATCAGATATTCTAACTCACAAGACAATACACAAGAAAAACAAAATTAATCATTTTAAAGCATTGAATCACCAGTTGATAAACGTGTTAGGGAACAAGTTAACTGGTTATTCGAATGAAATACTACTTAAACTTTTAAAGTTAAATGTAAAACTTACGCGTAAAATTGAGTAAAAAATGAACATCAAGTTCCGTTAGGCTAGTCGTGCAGACTAAAATTATTATTTCATTCGTGTAAGAACTAAAACTTGGTTGCAGTTTTTTTTAGTTTACAAAGTTGATTGTTGGTGTACTTTGGTGACAGATTTTCTTGTAGGTAGATTTTGTTGAATAAGACCGATGTCTGTAGGTTTACTTTCTTCTTGGAATTCTTCTCAAGAAGAAAGTAAACCTAAAGACATCGGTCTTATTCAACAAAATCTGCCTAAAAGTTGATTGTACGTACATTATTCACAAGCAGCGAGTTTATCTTTTACAAAACAACAACAAAAACTACGTGTAATTCTGTATCTAAAAGGATGTATGGTTTACGAGTTTAGTTAATAATATTATCCAAGATGGTAAGCTTAAATCATAGTTTTGTAAAATCTACATTGTTACCTGCTTTAGCTAGTGCCACAGCATGTTTACAAGTAGGAAGTTTAACCCTGGTTTTCCAAAGACACTTCCATGGACAATAAACGTCTACAGTTTCAATACTGCATAGAGACACAGACGAATAAGCGTTCGCCAATCCACCCCAGACCCATAGTTCTTTCTTAACCGAAACGGCAGTGCAGAAAGCACGGCGCTGTTGTAGTGGTGGCTTTTTGTACCACCTAGAATAAATTAACCGTAAAATGTGAAAATGAAAAAATTGACATTAGATGAAATCGATGAAAAAAACAAACAAACTTCTATTACTTTTCTTTACTAATTCCTGTCAAAATTTATAAAAATATTAAATATAAAACAAATCGCTAAACAAAATATGACCACTGTAATATAACTATAGTTAAAAGACTTAAAAACCAAATTTAGTTACAATAAAAATATTGATTTGTTGGATTTTAAAATATTTCTATGGATTGTGTGTATCATGAACATACTATTTCTTGTTTTTCTATTAATATATTATGATCTATTACTTATATGTATACATATATAAGTGTGTGTGTGTGTGTGTGTGCAGTTAATAGATGTATGATATATATACATACCTATTCTGAATAGGATCGTAACTTAAAAAATAATCAACAATAAAAGGTGTTCTTTTATCCACTTTTGAAATACTAACACCTCCTACAACATATATAAGACCGTCAAGACAAGCAGCACCAGAACCCATCACAGGTTCAGGCATTGGTTTGACTACTGTCCACTGATCTGAATCCGGTTTGTACACTTCTACACAAGAGATGATTCTGAAATATAAAAAACAAAAATAGTCTTATAAAAATATTGTAAAACCTAGTGTACGTACGTTATGCAGAACACTTACTTAACGTTTCAAATGAATCAGCTTCATCAAAGTCATTCAATAAGCAGTAAAGTTTGTCTATGTCACAAAATACAAGATAACTTTACATTACCACATAATTTATCAAAATATATACATATATGTATATAGCTATTGCGCCATAGTAAGCAATTATTCAGTTACTGCGGCCTTGCATTTGTCAGTGAGATTCATATTACTGATCAACAGAACTATTGCCTATGAAATTATGATAGCCTACTCACACGTTAAAATATACCTCAGTAATATAATGCTTGACTTCTCTCTCAGCTCTAAATGTTTAGTTAAAATATGCTTAATTACATGCATTTTAATCTTTTGTCTTACAAATTAACGATATACAGAGAGTTGAGTACGTTATATTAAATTGATTTTTAATAAGAAAATTAGCATTTTATGTGATAACTACACCCAATATATAATCTCAGTGGAACGGTATGTATTAGAACTACATTTAACATTGTTTCACTTCAGGTAGATAGTGTGATGCCATCGAAGATTTATTGCGTTTGGAAAGTATGTAACAGACCATTACCATGCAAAACTTTCACACACTTAGAATATAAAGATGTGTTCAGAGCGGAGATTTAGAATTTCAAAGACTTGATGGGGATCAAATGGGGATTAACTATTAACTTAGGAAATCTGGATTGTTCAGAAAGAGACCTTCAAATAGACAGATCCTACTCGTGGTAAGCAAAGTGTTATGTCGTGTATCAAATGAGAACCCACGAACACAAAGATCAATAGCAAAAGCTGCCCATGTAACTCAAGTAACAGTAAGCTAAATAATCAAGGAGGATTTCGGCCTGGAAAAGTGACATAAAGTACTCATACAACATTCTACACATACATGGGTAATGAAACAGGTACTCATACTATTCCATACGAAGACGTAACCGGTTCCGAACAAAGCGCCTATGGATCTCTATAAAACATATGCTTGGAAATAGATGGCTTATGTAAAGAAAATCGGAGGAGTGGTGTGCTTTGGATATAACAGTTTTACGAAGGAGCCTTTGCACAGAAAATTACTCCACAGGGCTTTTGTAAAAACACACGGTCGTCAAATAAAGTACGACCAGACGTGAGAATATGGACTCTTACGATGTTGTGAGGCTCTAAAATCGTCTTAATATAAAGTATTCAACCTCTGTATTATACATAAGTGTATGTATTATGTGCACTGACGTTTTCCTTTAGTTTAATTGTTGGCCTAGGTTTAAAATAATGAAAATAAAAACTTTGGTTATGTTACTACAGTTAAACTTTCAAAATAAAACTCCATTTCATCGACATACTCTTTTTTGCTATTTTGTCCACCAATTATAACTATCCTTTCATCAAATGCGGCGGCTGCATGACAAGCTCGAGCGTAATACATATCTGTTCTTCGTCTCCATCTTTTAGAACTAAATGTCAATTCGAAAACAGTGGCTGTTGGCTGCATCTCGCTATTTACGATCTCCAGAGGGTTGTAACCACCTGTAGTTACAGATCAGGTTTAAAGTGAACTACTGTTTACCCATTAAACTATTTACTTTCAGCGTAAAACTCATAGAATATCAAATACACTTTATCAGTTTAATATATTCTAAGAATTCTGAAAATTCAATGTTTAACCTTTAAAAAAAAACGGCACATACAGAGTGCCCCAAAAGTAGGTATACAGTTGTATATGTTGAATGAATTGAGTTGTTTTGAGTTGTAGAATGTATTTAATTGTGACTGCAAATTTCAAATTTTCCTCAGAGATGGATAGGCCGCAGAGGCGCAATCGAGAAGCCTCCACGTCACCGGACAGTACCCCTACGGACTATTTCTTCTGGGGGGAGCACTCAAGGACAAAGTTTACAGCAGGAAATCGCGGAATGTTGACGAATTGAAAGGGTGCATCACAGACGCATTTACAGAACTTGATGGACAGACAGACTTGTGTCAGAAAGTTTGCAGAAGTGTAGCAGGCAGACTTCAGGATTGTGTGAACAGCGACGGGTTTTAATTTGAACACATGCAGGATTAACTTTCCTATAATTCCATGACATGTGTAAAGTGCCGTTAAATAAACTATCAACTATCAACCGTATACTTTAATTTTAATTTAATTACTTTAAATACGTTATCAATTATCAATTGTATACCTACTTTTATGCCACCCTGTATCAATTTTAAAGTGTTTACCGCATCCTGAATTATCTTTTACAACAGCGGTTCCCAACCTTTTCACCACCAAGGACCCCCTTTTATTATTATTTTTTTCCCCACGGACCCCATGTTTTTTGAAAGATTCCATCTACCCAATTAATTTGTTTTTCCATTTTTCACTATCAAATAAAAGACATATATAACTGAGTGTGCAATTAAAAGAACAGTAGAATTAAAAACTTACTTGTGTAATGAGATGGTATTATCTTCGCAGACCCCCAGGGGTTCGGGGACCACAGGTTGGGAATCACTGTTTTACAACAATGTCAAACCAATAATTCCTAGAAAATGTTTATCCAATTACATAACTTCGTGTATAGCAATATTATATTTAGTTCATTCTGGTCAGTATGGCCTGGGAAACTCAGGTAAGTTTGACGATCTTTTCCTCATTCTACAACATTAGATATTCGCTCAGCCTTCTGTAGTTAACTCATGCAGTTGGTGTTTTAAGTTTAATAAAGGTCCGGCATGGCCAGGTGTTTAGGGTCACACCAAACATGCTTGCCCTTTCAGCCGTGGGGGCGTTATTATGTGACGGTCAATCTCACTAGCTGCCTTTCCTCTAGTCTTACACTGCTAAATTAGGGACGGCTAGCGCAGATAGCTCTCGTGTAGCTTTGCGCGAAATTCAAAAACAAACAAGTTTAATAAACTACTACAGCCTGTAAATTTTTTTCTAATTTCACGCGTCAGCCCTTTTCAGCCATGTGCATGAACATTTTGAAGCTTTAAAATCTCACTAACGCTAGGAAAATATTTAACTCCTTGGAGTCATTATCCCCCAAAAGAGGAGTTAAAGTGTTATGCTTTCCTTATACCTCCATTTTTGAGAGGTTATTTGTCTAGGTAATCATATCGAACGTGACATCTAAATGTATTTGCCCTGTGTCGTCATTTTTAGGGGCTCCAAATTTAGTTTAGTCATTGGACATAGGATAATGTTATGCACTCGTCGTAATGTTCCAAAAAAAGCACCCAAAACACCAAAAATAAAAGGTCCCATAATTAATGTGACATCTACTAGAAATACTTCGTGAAGCGAAGGAGTTAAATATGTATATTTATATTAGGAGCCCATTATTTTACAACAAATATTTATCAAAGCTTGAAGTTACATAGCGTTTGATAGCATTACATAATTTAAACAAATATTTATGGAAAATGGCATGTCTCATATTATCATCATATTCGAAAAACTTACGTAAATCACTCATCAGTTTATTTTTATTTGAGTCCTTCTTAAAGTAATTAACAGAACGAAATTGACAGGCTTACGAATTATGTACAACCGTTGTGAATGTAATAAATTTGATCTCCTTACACGTGCACAAATGGAGAAATTTTGAATAGTTTTAATTTAGATATTAGATTTTGCGATTTTCATTTAAAATGAACATGTATGTGTGTGTGTGTGTGTGAGGGGAGGGAAAGGCAACCACTCCACCCAATCCTTCTTTTTTTTCGAGAAATATAAAACGTCTGGTTAATGGGTTATGTATATGAGAAATTACTGATATCAGTATATACAAAATACAAAGCCGAAATGTCCATGTGCTTTTTGTTATTGTTTTTTTGGTTTCTCATAACCTTCTGGCTCTTACGAAGTTATTAAAGCTCATATATGAGCTCCGAAACGTGTTACGACATCAACAGTTCGTATATATATTGTAGAAATTAGGGTTAAACTCCCCCACCCTCCAGATTTTGGTGAAGAGGCGCTATTAATATTAACTGATGATGACAAAACCTTAACGAAACGTTGTACATTTGCTATTATGTTAAACTTATATTAAAGTTTTCTTCATTACCCATTCAAGCCGTCTCCAAGCATTATTAACTGATTTAATGTTGTTGTTCTTTTAATCCGAAAACAAAACCCGTTTGGACACCTTGCCCGTTGTACAAGAGCACTTGCGCTACGTTTAATTACGTTTGAGTGGGGGCTATGAATACAGTTTCAAATATGGCACCTCCGGGAATAAGAGGAGTGCCAGAAACACGAGATCCGAGGCCAAATTCGGGCTCAGCGACCTTGAGAACCTACCACTAGACCTTCATCATGCTCGGGTGACCTTTAAAGCGCGTTTTCGTCTCCCATATAGATAAAAACCACCCCAAGTCCGCCTGTTAAGTTTAGTCTTGCTGGCTTCAAAACTCCGTGGAAGAGGATCGAGGAAAAACATATTCACAAACACGCAGGGTGAATTAAAATAGGATATACCATTTATTACACCAATTTTCAATTTGGCTTAAAAGAGGTCAAAAGTGATTTACAGCAAGAGAAATATTTGGGGAAGGCTTCCAGATTGGCCATGTCATTTGCAAATTTAGAATAAATACACTATTTTTCATCTATGAGTGGCAAACTGCTAATGTATATGATAAATACTAAGGGAGTGATTACTCCTCTTTGCGGGATAGTCTCATATGTAAATTACTCAGAGTTAGTTACTTCAGCATCCAGGAAACTGGAGAGCCAACGAATAAACTCTGTGGAAGTTCAAGTTCTAACAATTATAGTTTGAGTGTTACTCAGCAGAGAGCATGTTGCTAAAAGAAGTGGAATCAGAGAATGTGTTGCTAGGGAAAAGGTGACATCATAGTTCCACGAAGTGGTACCAGAGGACGTGTTGCTAGGGGTCATAACGTCAATGGCTTGCGTACTGCTGTACTAAGACGTCATCAACGTCTATGTTTTGTTAGTAAAGCTATTATTTTTTTATTGATTATATTTTTATGTATTATGTATAACAATAAATGAGTTATTGACAAAATATTTCATAGGATAATGTTACTATAGGCGGATGATGCTACGAAGGGCAATGTTACCATAGTTCGTAGGATGATCAAATAATCACTAGTATTTTACCATATTTGTATAGCATACATTTTACAAATATCTATTTTGAAAAGGACGGATTTTTCGTGATAACATTTTTAAATATCATACAATAATTTAACATACAATCTTATTGTTTCACTTTATACATATGTTTCACTAGTTTGGCTTTATGGATTAAATATAATTTTATGCTATTCCTCTACCCATATAATTATGATTTTTATTCGTTGTATTGTGTATAACAGTAAATGAGTTCTTGACAAAATATTTTTAATTTTACAAATGTTAGCAGTTACTTTATAGTTTTCACTTACACGTTACATATGTTTTACAAAGGCTAACGGTACTTCTATTACTTCTATGGGTGGATGGTATTATTATTATTACAAGGCCTTACTAACGATAATATTACTTTAGGTGGACGATGTAACTAAGGGCACTGTTTCTATAGTTCTATAGGATTTTAACACACCAACTGTTTTGCTTTTACACATAAAACCATTATTTCTACGAGACAACTATTACAACATCACTGATAATTTGTATTACACGTGTCATGTAAAATGGGTTTTATCATACACATTATCTAAATTTATCCATTATTTGAATAAGACAAATATTATAATATAGCTGATATTTTGTATTACATATGTCATATAAAAAAAGTTTCATCATACATACGATCTCAATTTATCCATTATTTCAACGAGATAACTATTATAACATAGTGTATTACGTATGTAAGTTTTTATCCATTATTTAATTGATGCAAATATTATAGCCAATAATTTACCTTACGTACTTTTACAATTGTTCATCACTTTATGTACGAAACATTTATTAGTATCATCAATACATTAGTTCTATAGTTTTCGTTTCTATATTTAACTTGCATGGCATACTTTTTGCATTATCTGACGTTTTATATGTAAAACACTTATTAATATTGCTAATTCATTTGTTCTATAACATATGTCTATTTGCCCTGAAAAGGACAATTATTTAAATCTCTAAATACTTTAATTTTCATGTTTAGCTTTATAAGTTAATGTATGTATTTCTTCCACTAAAGTTTAGGCTTAAACTATATTTTAAAATTGTTTAACAATTACTATTGTAGAAATATTATTATGAACTTTCTGTATAAAAAAAATCATAAATATTGTTGGTTATTGAATTAGAACTTTACATATAATGCTGAATAATTTCTAATAAAACAGATTAGTACAGATATAAACGAACTTTCTTCTACAACAGACGTTGAGAGACAGTCATGATCTTAAAAAGATCTTTAATTATGAAGCAAGGGATTATTCTTTCATGTTTTATTAACCCAACTTATTTATTATTTATAATTACAGAATATACTTTACAACAACAATATAAAAACCCAGACTTGAGAAGCACACTGAAACATTTATTAACAATACTTCAG